TTGCCTCTGTGTGTGTGCGCACATGCCGATCTAGCTCCCCATCGTCCTGTCCTCCTTGGTGTCCCTATATTTTCTGGAGCTGACAGATGTGCTGTCCCCAGCGATAGTGGGCTTCCGTTGCCATGATCGTGACCTCTCCATGCCCTATGTGGAGACAGGCGATGAGCTGATCCCCCTGCTGATGCTGCTGAGTTTAGCCTTCGCTGGTCCTGCAGCATCCGTAAGTCTGTCTCTCACATGTGAGGTCATTGATAAGATCGGTGACCTAATGTGTGTCTCAGTTCTACACACATATCGCACACTATAGACACGCATGTTGGCTCATAGAAATATGAAAATGTACAGCTTCTCAAATGCTCACATAGCAAATTCAATATTCCCTCAGAAATGCAGAATCAATGGACACATTGATAAATACATACCTGACATTCCAATATACATCACCAAACTCAACACAGCCCCCTCACAATCAATACACACACACTGCTCATCCATCATCAGTGTGGAAACGAGCAGACACATCAATCACCCTGATTGGAGGCGATCACTTTTCGATAGTACGTTGCCTCCATTCTCTCTCTGTGGCTCTGTCTCTCTCACTGTAGATCACAAACACAAACCTTGGTATCTAGCATTAATAGTAAATTCACCTTTTTTTATCACATTTTCTCAGTGGCTTACTGTGTGGACTACACGACAAAAGTAAGAACATATTCAGTAACTTTTACATGCTTTCTTTTCTACTTTTAACCTGCTTCTCTCCCTCCATCTGTAGATAATGATGGGGGAGGGCCTGATGTACTGTATGCAATCCAAGCTGAAGACTTGTCCTAAGTCCGAGAGCAGTATTAATGCTGGGGGCTGCAGCTTCAACTCCTTCCTACGCAGAACTGTGCGCTTTGTCGGTATGTCCAGCTTCCACATCCATTATCTATACTGCTTATTCCTGAAGGGGGGGCTGGAGTCTAAGCCAGCTGACACTGGGCGAGAGGTGGGGTCCGCTCTGGACAGGTTGCCAGTCTATCACAGGGCTAAGTAGACAAAAACCTCACACATTCACTCCTATGAGCAATTTAGAGTCACCAATCAACCTAAGTCTTTGGACTGTGGGAGGAAGCCGGAGCGCCCAGAGAGAACCCACACAGGCACAGGGGGACCATGCAGACTCCATACAGAAATGCACCGGGTCAGCCCGGGTTCGAACCCGGAACCTTCTTGCTGTGAGGTGACAGCTCTAACCATCACGCTGCTTTCACATCTTTTTTTTTAAATTCTGAAATCAGTTTTGGCTCAGACAAATTATTCCACTTACTGACTGAGCCTCCAACTTTATTCTGCTTTTAGAGCAGGGAAATAAGCTAATTACATGCATTAAATAAAGGGTGGCTTAAAATGAAATAAACATGATATAATGCTTCACTAGAAATATCCTGAGGCAGACTCAGAGCTTTGAAGTGAAAAGAGTAATTCCTTCACCTTGCCAGATTTCAGTCTACTGAAAGCTTCCTAGTGCAACACATCGAAGGCTTGTGGTGTCTCTTCAGGTTGTTTGAGCAAATCCAGCCCTGGTTTTGACTGCAGGTGCACAAAAATGAACAGCTTAATGTGAAAAACCACCAGGGCCTTTTACTGTATTTACCAAGGCTGCCTCACCATCTTGCTGTCTCTTGCCTCTCTCTCCCTCAGGTGTTCATGTGTTTGGTCTCCTGGCAACAGCCCTGGTGACAGATGTCATCCAGTTAGCTACTGGTTACCACACCCCTTTCTTCCTCACCGTCTGCCAGCCCAATTACACCGCCCCAGGAGTGTCATGTGACAACAATGCCTACATCACGCAGGACATCTGCATGGGGAAAGACCAGTATGCCATCATGTCAGCTAGGTAAGACGCATTTATGTTTACAGGGGCTGCACAGTAGGATGTATATACACTTTCTTTCAGGAGTATACTGTATGTAAATGAAGGGTGAGGAGTCATCAAAACTAATTTGCATTTGAAGAGGATTACTGGAGATTAAATAGCTAAGGAGTGAAATTATTCTTGTTACAGCTGGATTTTAAAAAAATCTATTGTTTGCTTATTAATGGAACACTTCTTCTAAAGAGTTTGTTTGTACAAGATTAACAAGGGCCTTACAAATTGTGACTATCAAGTGTCTCACATTAACTAAGTTTGGCTTTTAATGAGAGTAGCATCACAGCGGGTAACAAACAGACATAGGTCAGACAAACAAACAAGCCTCAGCATATGGGTATTAAATAGGCGTAATAAATGCACAGCGACAGCAAAGCTAACAGCTAAATATAGCTGATACAAGTACAAATGTTTGCTATACTTGTGAGGACCCACACTGATAATGCAAATGTTCACAGTTAGGATTGTTTGCTTATTCATTTTCTGGTGGACAGTTATATGGCAGGATCAGTATCATACTCATTTCTGTGTGTGTTGCATATAAAGCTACAACCATATAAGCTGTTAGCTTAATTTTTACAAAAACTGAAATGTAAAAATGAAAATGGGAGGTTATGTATGGGACTTTCTTGGCTGGGAGCAATTTCTATAAGACAAGCAGTTATTGGTAGGAAAGCAAGTGCACTAAATGTATTTCTCAGGATGTCATAAACCTAACCTACATGTAATTCTAGCCTGAAGCCTAAAGTCTTAACCCTCAAACAGACCTTTGAAAAGGTAAGGACTGGCCAACATTTACACATTTCCTCAGCCTCCAGGTATAAAATTCAAATTGGTCCTCACAAAGATAGACCAAAACATCCATCTAAGCAACACACATGCACACAGATTTGGCCCTGAAAAGTGGAAGTAAGTAAATCCAGTAGTGCAAGACATAAGGATGGAAACGCTTACTCATAGAAGTGTTTGTTTTAACAAGGGCATCTTAATAAGGCAAATGAAGTGAGAATAACGATTCAGTTTTCTGAACTCTAAATTGGTGGCTTTGACCTCAGCCCACTCACTCCTTTAATGTTCCTACTAATGCCCCGTGGTTTACTGTTTGCATTTCCTAATGCTCACTTCCAAGGATGCATGCTCAGGCGGGCGCACAGGTTTTAAAGTCAAATACAATGCCGGCATCACAAATAAGAGCAGCCATGACACTTTTATTCAGGTTTATTCACAAGGCAATAAACAAACACACATCGTTTTTATGAAGACATTCATCTGTGTCTGTCTGTACCTTCACTCTTTCACACCTAACTTTGCCCCCTCTCTCCCCCTCAGGAAAACATTTCCATCCCAGCATGCAACACTCTCTGGCTTCGCTGCGGTCTATATCTCAGTAAGCACTTAACCTCTTCCTATGTGTGTTTGTACCGTGAGTGTGATGTTTTTGCATTAAATATGTCTGCATAATGTTTTAGTTGTTTGTGTTTTAGAATGTGTTGGGGTTTATTGGGTGTAGTCCTCTTATCAACAGTGATTTTAGTGCAGCTTTATGATGGTACCCAGCTAAACCAGTGTGTTTTTCCCTTCACTTCATCCTTGATTGTCTC